AACAGCAGAAATACCAGTTATAGATCCTTGATCCTGAGTGGGAACTTGGTCTGTGTATGTTCAATAGTGAAATAGCAATAATAGCAGACACAAAAGTAGTTTGGTTGAATTGACTATTTAAGCTTCACAGTGGTCCTCTGAATGAGGGGACCTTGTCTTTCTCCCTTCCCTCTTCCTCTTTCTCATCGAATTTGATAGAAAGGTTCAGCAGTTGCACAACCCCATAGCTAGTAAGCAGCTGGGAACTGATAACCGTCTGGCTCTAAAGTCCACGCTTCCCCCACTCTAATGGTGGATAGTCTTTCTTTACTCATCTCCTTGATTCCTTATGACAATTAAGGGAGCATCATGCATGTGGAGGATGCCTGGAACATTCTAAGGACATTCTCATGAATGCAGTTCCTTTTTCTCTTCCTTGTTTATATTCGGCAGACCATCTAACCTCGCTTCCTCTCTGATCTCCTCCTTAGGGTCCCTGCCTGACATCTAACTTTTGGTTCTTGAGGGCCATGAAATAGAAATCAATTTTCCTCTTCTCTGATCCATTGTATTACTTGGTTTAGCTTCACTTTATGTCAGACATCAGATGTGAATTATGTAACTCTCCATACATGGAGAGTTTGGGAGCTCTCCATGATAAAAGTACTTTACCTTCTGATTGCAACACCCTACCATGACTTTCATTGTCACTCAATCTTAGTATAATCTTTTTTTTTTCTGTAGTTAGAATGCTTTCTCCTTTCATTACAAAAGGGACAAAAGAAGTTAGACACTGATAACCTTTCTATTGTTTACGTTTATATATTTTTTCATTTTTATTGTTTTAGAGTTTCAGACTGCCAAAAGATAAAACTGGTACTACAAGGATTGGGGACTTGGCACCACAAGACATGAAGAAAGTTTGTCATCTAGCCCTGATTGAACTCACTGCCTTGTATGATGTGTTGGGCGTGGAACTCAAACAACAGAAAGCTGTGAAAATCAAAACAAAAGGTAAAGTTAGATTAGGTTCCAAAGTAACAAAAATAGACTTGGCTCTTGTCTGGTGTTCTTGGTGGTGGGATGGAACACCAACCAAACAAATAAACTGAGACTCGAATACATCTAGACATCTAGAGTTCCAATTCTCAACATTGCCTTAAACCTTTTTAGAAATTGATAAATAAAATATGCAGCCAAATACTTTAATTCTCACAAAAGGGAATTGTTACTCAAGGGATTGTAATGCTCTTGTTTTCCCCTTTAGAATGCTCTATGTTTGAGAAAGAGCCCTTTGGCAAACATGTCTATTTTCAAAACCAGATCTCAAAAACAAATGATTTTTAAGGGGTTGGTGTTGAGTTATTCCTGTTGTTATTCCTTGATGAAATATGGGAGTTAACAATCTGTCTTTATGTTCACTTTCACTCTATTTTTAAATTTAAATTGAACTTCTTAGTATTGTGTACGTGGAATGTCCACAATGTGTGTGTGGACGTCAGAGTATAACTGTCATGGGTTAGTTCTCTCCTTGCACTATGGGTTCCAGGGATCAAGCTCTGGCTTTCTAGCTTGCCTGGTATGCCCTTTGATCCGAAGAGACATCTCATTAGCCCTACATTGTATTTGTAGCTATTCAGCAAAAACACTTTTCCCTGTCAATAAAATCATGCAGTACCACTACATCATGCTCATTTCCCATGTGTCATCCTGATGTTGCAAGCAGCTTGCTTACCTACTACACAGCAGCTGACTAATCCTGAAACATGATCAAGAACAGATGCCTTTAGTCTCTGCTTCTCTTATTTTCTTGGTCTGGAAATCCAGGTAAGTAATTCTCTACTGACAAAGCTTTCCCATTTTGGGATCTCTGTCCTCTTGTTTAACCTTACGGATGTCTCCTAAAGAGGCACTGGGAATGAGGAAGATTGAGTTGCTATGGTAACATGAGCCAAGACAAGTATGTACCTGATTTAAGTTACAGAGAGTTTCTCTGTAGGACTGAAGTGTACTGTTTCTGTCCTTTCTGTGTGTCCCTGTTGTGGTGGACCCTAAAGACCTCATTCTGTGCTCAGTTCTCTGGAGTGTTTTGCTTAAGGCTTATAGTGGTGACTTTGTGAGTTCAATGGTGCTTCTGGTTTCTCCTGAGTCCCTGTGAAGAATGAAGACTTTAAATGCTTCTAGCAAAACTCATCATGACCTTTTCTCCAATGAGAAAGTAGGAATACAGTTTGAATAGCTATGACTGCATGCCCAAGATTTGAAAATGGCTTATGGAGGTGTTTTTGTTGCTGTTCTTGTTGTTTGTTGTTGTACTTTCTGGTTTTGTTATTTGGTGAAGAGAGAAATATTAAAATGTTCTTTTAAGGCTGTGACTTTTTAAATGGAAGTAGAGGAAGTACTTTGTAGTTTTCAAAAATGCCTATAGCTTTTATCCAGGATACTTGTATCTTGAGTGTTTGGGGTCTTGAGAATACAACTCCTTTTGATGATCAGACCAAAAGGCAATTTATCTTTTTAAAATGGCTTCTTTGCTGGGCGTTGGTGGCGCATGCCTTTAATCCCAGCACTTGGGAGGCAGAGGCAGGAGGATCTCTGTGAGTTCGAGGCCAGCCTGATCTCCAGAGTGAGTGCCAGGATAGGCTCCAAAGCTACACAGAGAAACCCTGTCTCAAGAAAACAAATAAATAAATAAATAAATAAATAAAATGGATTCTTCTCAGTGTTCAGTGTCTGTCCTTAAACCACAGGCCAGTCCCTTCTTGTCTACAGATGAATGTTATTTACTTGATTGTGCCATTCCTAAAGGACAGAGCCCTTGCTTCTGTGGTAACCATCAACCTAGAAGAGAGACAGATGGCATAAGAGATGAGTTTAGAAAATGTACAAATATTACCCATCATTACACACACACACACACACACACACACACATATCCACCCCCACACCCCCCCACACACATGCGCACACACACAGAATTTAAATGTAAGAATACTAGATATCTACATTTTTGATCAGGACTGTAATTCTCAAAAAGCAAATATTTATATTTAGCTGTATCAGGGAGTGTTCAATGTCCATTCAACAAGGGAGCAATAAGTGGTGTTTGATTATACGTCAGAACTTTTAATTTGATTGCACTTCATCAACTGTTCAAATAGTTTACATGTCCTCATAGTTATGTTTTATGCAGCAGTTTGCTCTTTTTAATTACCATCATTTGTTCAGATACTTATCCCTGCTGGATTGTTCTAGAATATAGAGCCATGCTTTGGCTGTGTTGGCTTGTGTCTACTTAATGGCTTCATGGTATAATTTCCTTAGTAGGTACTCAATAAATAATCTGATCAATAAGTTACAATGTAAGGAATCTCATATTTTCAGTTTTTATTACTATTTTATAGGTGGATGGAAGTGAAGAGCTTGTGTTTTCTTGTTGCAGATTCTGGTCTTTTTGGTGTTCCATTAACCATGTTGTTAGAACAAGATCAAAGGAAAGCACCGGGAACTCGAATACCCTTGATCTTTCAAAAAGTAAGTAGGTCTGAACTATCCAATGCATCGAGAACATACTTAGGCTAATAGTGACATTTTACACTTAGACTGTGATAATAAACTTCTCCAGTTGATATGCTGTTTTATTTTATACTTTGATTTTCTATTCAGGAAACAAATTTGTTTTAAGGGCTCATAATTTTTATCTCATGGTGATGCTTTCTATGATATTACTGTATCTATGATTGCCTGGCATCATTTTCCTGTCTTATATTAGCTGCTTTTGTGTAATTGAGATTTCAGTTCTATAATACATAGGAGTGAGAACTGTGTATAAATTCCTAGGGAATTGAATCCTCATGAATATTTCATGCACGTATGTATTTCTCATGCTCTCCTATTTGCAGTGAGGCTGTCCAACTTAATTTACCAGTGCCCACGTCCAGAGTAGGCAAAGAAAGCATAAAGTAGAATTAGAAAATGATTGCTAAACTATCAAGTTGCTTGTGTAGTCAACACTCAATTATTCATAAGGAGATTATCTGTAGCAATAAAAAAAAAATTCACCTCAACCTCTGAGCCATCATTGTACAGGAGAACAGATTACATTTGATAAAACCTAAGAAAACACAGTAAGGCAGGCAGGCCCAACAGCCATGGACTACCCAAAAGAAAGATCCTTTGCAACAGCCTCAGCATATTAGTGTCTATAATTTCTCAGGACAGTAGAGATGGTTTTTCAGTTGACTGACTCAGCCAGTCCTAAGGCTCACTCTATTTGATACTCACTGTTCTGTTCCAAATCAGTTTCTACCCTTGTTAGCCACTTGCTGTTAGTGCTTCACTATTCTTTCCTGTCATTGCATCCAGACTTGTATCTGACATGTCTCTTGATGAGTATTCTGTAGGGGTTTTTCTGCCATTGTCTGTTGAACCATGTCTATGTTAATAGTCGACAACTTATTCTGATTAAGATAAAGAAGCTAGCATATAGAGACTACATATTCCAATTTGTTTCTTATGAAGTTACTATACAAAGATGCATTGTAAAGCTCCGTTTTTGCAAGCTCCTCCAGCATCAATAGAATCTATAGCTATATCTATGTCTGTCTCTACCTGTGTATCTCTATCTATACTTATATCTGTATCTATCTATGTGGAAAGGTATCTTTTAGTTATTTTATTCATGCAGTAGGAGATATGTGGAACACGACACCAGGACAGCAAGTTGGGCAAGAGATGATGCTGCAGTTTTGAGGAAGAACAGCTTTGTTGCAAACCTCAGGCTTTGCTTCGCATCTTTACCTGGTGGGTTGGGGTTCACCATATTGCAGAGGGTGACCTGCATGGCTTAAATTATGCAATTCAACACTTGGTCCCTTCTAAAATGATATCATCACTGCAGCATCTAGATTGGTGTTTGACTGAACCACTGAGCACACAGCGCTAACCAGGTTGGCACACACAGTTCATCATCACATGGGGGAGTCTGAGTTTAGTTTCCTATAAGGTTCAGTGATGCTTCCTCAGTAGGCAGAATACTGACTGCTTGTGGTCTCGCAAGACAAAAAAAAAGTCTGTTTTCAATGTCCCCCAAATTTTGATTTGATGTATTTAATTAGTTATTTTATGATTTTGTTTCCTTGAGCACACCAGAGACTCCTGAAACCTACTATTTTGAATTCATATTTCAGTTTTGTTCATATTAAAAATAAAAGGCCCTTAAAGAGTTGAAGGCTAGGAAGCTCTCACCAGTTCTGTTTTGTGTTATAAGAAATAAACCTCAGAGATGTGTTGTGAGGAGCATCGTTTGATCCAGGCCACATTCCCATTGTCTGTCCTTCCATTTTGTAAAATGGGAGGGGCGGGGAGACACACTTGATTTGCAGAAACATTTGCTCCCAGACTCCAGGGGGTCCGTCTTTAATGTGAAGGGAAAGTATCTGGCAGGTGGCACTAACTAAAGTTATCTCCTATCAGTTAAATTCATCTTTTGTTTTTCTTACTCCTCCCCCACTCCAGGCATGGTGTTCAAACCATGTTCTTAAAAGGGGTTAGGTAAACAAAAATGTTCATTTTACTTTATGGAAAAGTGCATTCTCTGATCAAATTTTCAAATCCAACAATGTCCTTTTGTCAAGATGATCACTCAAATCAGTGTTGTGCCAAAGGGTCTGATTTTATTTCCACTTTAGCTTTCATGCCTCCTCCCCACACACACGATTTACATTTTGAGAAATATTATGGATCACTGATAAAGTATGGAACACACAAATTTCCCCAACCAGCATAATTAAGTATAGTTATTTTTGTCTATTTGAGGTCTTAAAAATTAAAAGCTAGAATATGTTTCCTATTAATATAAAAACCCAATTAATTAATGTAGCTAAAATAAGTGCTTTTCTGAGTGAGACATAGGAGATAGCACATGGTATTGTTTCAGACAGCACAAGCATAACTCTTGATGTTGGGATCCAACATTAGAGAACACTAGAAATATATTCAAATGTAGAATTCAGGAATGAATCCCATTTAGCTGTTTAGAAGCCATGATTTTCTTCTGTACTTAATGAAAGTGCAAAGTGTAGACTGGTAAAATCTAATTGACTTCAGCAGCCTGCATTCAAATGGATGCTTTAATAAGACATGCAAATGTTTTATAAGGGGAAATAAAATGAAAATTGGCCGTACATGGGATATTTTAAAATTTGGCATGAAATACTTTATTGAGTAATGTCCTTATAATATCAAATAATTTCTAATTCTTCTTGCTCTGAGTTTCTCTACAGTGGTACTTGAAAGATGTGGTCTAGGAAAATTTTGAATTTTAAAAATTGATGTACTTCCTTGAGTGGTCAGGGATGGCTGCTTTAGCCAATAATGTATTCTCAGAATTTGATGCTATTATTGGTGTGTTCTCGGAATCCCTCTGTATCCTCAAATTTCCTGGTGAAAATCTATTCATAGGATAGGACAGATAAGGTCATTAAGGAAAAATCACCATCACTTCCAGCGTCCACATGCTATATGGTAAATCTGACTTTGGAATATATAGACAGAGGTCCCAAAACCTCCCTGAAGATGTTAGGCTTTCCCATAACACACACTTTTATATGCAAAGGGAAAGCAATAAGCTCTATGAGTTCTCTGGTGCCCAATTAATCATTAACGGAAGAGTCCCTGAAGGAAATATTCTTTTGTACCCTGGAGGATTTTATGCCTCAAGGTGTGCAGAGAACATTAAACTAAGAAAAGAGATGCAGGAAGGCCGTGTCTGGGTTTCACTGTTGAGTTAAGGATGGGTGGGGGGAGCTATAGGAAAGGAGCACTTGGTGCAAGTATGTGCCTTGTATTTAGAAGAAGGTGAAAGTGATTTCCCTAAACACTGCAGAGGATGCTCTGCTCTCTGTATACTCTGTGTCCTACCAAGGAATGTGTGACCCAGGTTTTCCAACTGGAAGCTCCCTGTCAGGGAGCAGACCACCCTTCCTGTCTTCACAGCTTTTAACAATTTGCCTCTGTAATATTCCCTACTTGCCTTATTTTTGTGATATGTTTTTAACATTTATAAACAAATATTTATAATTTAAAAACAAATTATGTGTATTTGTGTGGGGTATGTGAGTGTGAATACTGGTGCTCACAAAGACCACAGGCATCCGATCCCCCTCCACCTGGACACTCAGGCAGCTGTGAGCTACCTACATGTTGCTGAGATCTGAATTTGTGTCCTCTGCAAGAGCAATTCATGCTTTTAACCACTGAGTCATGTATCCAGCCCCATGGCTGCTACCTTTTTGTTTTAGCTTATTTTAGTGGAGTCGCTGAAGGAGATATGTAGCCATTCATTGAGGGTTGGTATTTACAAGCTGTACTTAAAAGCTTTCTTCTTTAAGCTTACCACCAGTAGCTTAAAATGAATATTAGCAACTGTTTCTGTCATATTAAAAATATTGTTTCTTGAAACAGACTAGATACAGCATATAAATGTGCAAATACCGAATTGCATGGTATTTATTTGGCGACACAATGCATGTTGCTGTTATAGCAGGATGGTGTTCCGAGCTGCTTTTACACGGTGAACATCTTTTCCCTGATCCTGTGGAGAACCGCAGCTGTTGTGTGAAATAGACATTTTTTTTTTCACAAAGGAGAATAAGATGAATGTTTTCAAAATGATAACTCAGGTTTCTGTATGCAGAGTTGTGAAGATGTTGGTCCAATAGCACTCAGAACCTCATCGAATCCAGTTTGCATGCCATCAGAATGCACTTTCACTCACCGATGGGGGCGTGGGGAGGGAGAGGTAAGCCTGTACCTGTTACAAACATGGATATCAGAAGGTTTGTTGGCTTACCCACAGCTGATTTCTCGAATTGAAGAAGGCGGTCTAGAAACCGAAGGCCTCCTACGAATACCAGGAGCTGCCATGAGAATCAAGGTAACCGAAACACTTCAGTTCTGTTAATGTACAGTTTTATCGTTTAATTATGCTTGCACATTTTAAAGGCCAACCTAGTTTCCCCACTCCTTATTCTTGTTGGCAAAGCAGATAAAATAAAACAATAAAGCCTCTTAACATCCAGTTTATAGTTTCTCTACAAACCCCATCTGTGTTTTTTTTTTTTCTGTAAGTTTTTATTTTTCCAAATACCCACATCACCTATTATCATCTAATGATGAGAGCATCATGACTCAGAAAGACAGTAGGGAGATGGGTAAGAGTCAGGATGAGTAATAGCAATTGAGTTTTGATTTTAGAAGGAGCTGGAACATGGCACTCCAGGTGGGGAGCAGATTAAGGCCCTTGACAAGCGCCACATAGATGGCTGTGTTGACAGAAGGAACAGCTATTCTAATTTCGGAGGCCAGTTAAGTGGCTTCAACTGTGTCAACTGGTCCACCCAGCCCATAGTCAAAGGCCAGATCATGCTGCGGCCAGCCCCTTGTAAATGATTTAAAGATGATGAGCAAATGCCCTGCCCCCCTGAATTTTCTGCAGTTCTCTTTCTTGCCTCCTTCCCTCCTTTAGTCTCTCCCCTCCTCATTTCTTCTCTTTCCACCTTTCCTCCTTGCCCACTCCTTTCTTTTTCTTCTCTTGTTCCCCTTTCACTCCATTTCCAATTTCTGAGGTTTTTCACCAATTACAAAAACAATTAGTACAAAAATCAAAACAAAACAAAAAACAAAAATGAGGGTTTTGTTGAGAGAAGCAGAATAACACAGAGGCTGTAGCTCAGTAGTGGAACACTTTCCTAGCATCCGGGGGGCATAGAGTTCCATCCCCCGCACCGCAACCAAAGAAAACATAAGCCAAAGCTGTCCTTTAAGAAAGTGGCTCCAGTAATAGAAACTTAGAAGGATTTCTGATGTAATAGGGCTTATGGTACATTAAAAGTGAATCCAGAAAAATAGTACTCATGGACAAACTTGATGTAGTAGTAATAGTGGAAGTAGTAGTGTAGAGTGTGTCTCATAGAGTGTCTGGAATGGACAACTTCATCATCCTGATTCTATATGGATCCAAATGTTAACCTGAGCTATCAGCGGGATAGTGGTCCAGTGAAGGTCAGTATCTTTATATATATTTTTGGCTCCTTATCTATAGGATTTGATTTTTGCATTTAGACAAATTACTGGTAACAAATTAGAGGTAACTTTCTGCTTGCCCAGAGATGGATTTATGTATTTTTGTTATGTAATACACCTCTAAATAGCTCAATAACATCATCTTGAATTTTAAATGGATTGTTTTAATATAATGACAAATTGTAAGGCCTAGGTGGTGTGCCCAATGGAAAGTGATTTTAATAGATCTTTTAATTAAACCTTTGCTAATTAAAGTGTGTGAAAATGTTGAAACTTTTTTCTTAACCTTGGGTGTAATTTCTCCACATCAGGACAGTCAAGGTTGGGGATGCCATTTTCCTGAGTAACTGAGACATGTTAACTTCTAATACTCTTAACACTTTACAGATTAGAATTCTTGTAAAGTACAAAACACACAGTCAACGGAGAAAAAATAATGTGCTTACTGCTAATTCCTTTTTCCCCTTGTGCCACTCAGAACCTTTGCCAAGAACTGGAAGCGAAGTTTTATGAAGGAACTTTCAACTGGGAAAGTGTCAAACAGCATGATGCAGCCAGCCTGCTGAAGCTGTTTCTCAGGGAGCTGCCCCAGCCACTGCTGAGTGTGGAGTATCTCAAAGCCTTCCAGGCGGTCCAGAGTAAGTGATTTCCATCAGGAAGTAGCCTGGGTGTGGGTGCCACTCACACTTTATCATCTCAGTGACAATTGGCATCATAGGGCACATTACCAGATGTCTTTGGTTAAACACATTGTTTCATGGATGTCAAGAGTTGCTCAAATGCCACACACCACTTTCCTTTCATAAATAAACATAACAGAATGTTCTTCTCAGGTAGTATGAGTTGCATGGCCTTTAAGAACACAATGCATCTTAACTGTGTGAGTCACATAGATCTCTGACGTGCTTTTCTTGCCAAGTGTTGAAAGTAACACACACAGTTATTATAAAAGCACAAGGAGATATCATGGTGTCCATGACCATTTACTAAAAACTCAGATCCTGGAATTGTGTAGGGGGATAGGTCCCTAGTGCTTTGCTGCCTCATTGGTGGAGAGAGGGTCACAGGATTCTGGTGTGTGGCCATTTTGTGGTCCTGGAAAACTCCCAAATTAAGATAAGTGTTGAATCTTGATTCCTTTCCAGGGAACACAGAGATCTTCCAGGGGTTATATACTGCTATGATTGTCCCATTTGCTCCTAGTGGCCATCAGGAAATAAAACAGTACTGTAATGATATTCAAGTAATCATAGCTTTAGCTTCTAAACTGGAACACTTTGTGAGTGAATGGGTACAGTATTAACCATGACAGGGAGGTTTAGTTCCCATTTGCATTGTTGGATACTATTGTCTAGTTTGTGTAGTTTGGGGGTGAATGCCCAAGTTATCTTGTGTTACAACATTTTTCTTTCAAAATTCATAAAGAAATAAGAAAATCACTATTTAAAGTATCTCCTTTTAAACAAAAAAAGCATCTTTTGTTAAAAATATTTGTAATGATGTGGTCGCATTATTTTGAATATGTTTCCTGGATATGGATCAAATTTGTTGCTGACAAAGCAGTGCTTGCAATAATCTAAATTTCTGGGTATATTAGGTGCCAATGATGATAATGTATACATCCTGGAAGCTTCATTGCTGATTGGTTCCTCATTCATGCCATACACATTTATTGGACCCCTATTATAGTCCAGGCTCCATTTTTTTTCCATGTCTGTCAGTGTTCTCCTCTTGTATTTTGTTCCCTTGACATTGAGAGACAAACTTCAGTGTTTAAAAAAAAAAAAAAAAAAAGCACCCTACCCTTGCTAGAATTTCCTGGACTGTCCAATCTTCTCCATGTTTCCATTGGAAGACAATTACCATGTGGAAGTTAGAATTATTTCCAAATCACTGTTGTATGTCGGCAAACATAAGGCTGCTTGTCATGTGATCACAGTTGGAAGCGAGCATCCTAGGACTAAGGGTGCTCGGAGCAGCTGCTTCCACTGATCTCCAGCAAACACTCTCGGTGAGACTGGCTGCTTAGTCACTGTGTCTTACATTTCACTGTAATGTTTACAACAAACAGCTTTTTTTTTTCTTCAAAAATGGTAAAGAAAGGAAAGTGTTCTATGAAGTTTTTGGATTTCTTTCATCTATCTGCAGATCTTCCAACCAGAAAAGAACAATTGCAGGCTTTGAACCTCCTTGTCATCCTTCTACCTGATGCAAACAGAGACACACTGAAGGTCAGCTGGTTAATTTATGCTAAATATCCCTTAGAAGGACGCAGAGCAATTCTTTCATTATTTGTGGGAAAACAGTTTGATGCTTGTTTTGGAAATAGCAATATACATCTAAAATGGGAAAGAGTGCTTTTAAGGACAGATGTTGAGAGACAGTCTTTCACCCTCAATTGGTTTACTAAATTGCTAATTTTATTAATATTACCAAGCATTTTAAAGAGGGTTTATTTACTTTATATGTATATCTGCATGCCTGCTTCTATGTGCAGGTGCCCATGGTAGCCAGGAGAGGCCATCAGATCCCTTGGAGCTGGAGGCATCTGCGCTTTTGAGTCTCTCTATGTGGATGTGGGAATTAAATGTTGGTCTCCTGCAACAATAGCAAGTGTTCTTAATCACTAATCCACCTCTCCAGCCCCTAGGTTATTTTGGTTTTGTAGCACTTGTATCTTTTTGAGAGAGAGAGAGTTGGTGTCTGTTAGGTCATACATGTTTGTATAGTTGTGTGTACGCAAGTGTTCTTAATCACTAATCCACCTCTCCAGCCCCTAGGTTATTTTGTTTTTGTAGCACTTGTATCTTTTTGAGAGAGAGAGAGTTGGTGTGTGTTAGGTCATACATGTTTGTATTGTGCGCGCGTGTGTGTGTGTGTGTGTGTGTGTGTGTGTGTGTGTGTGTGTGGTAGCTGAAGGTGAACATTTGGTGTCTTTTTTGACTTCATTCTGACTCATATATTGGGGCAGGGCCTCTCTTTAAAAAAATACTTATTTATCTTTAATTTTGTGTATGTGTGTGCTTGTGTGTAGGTTTGTGCTTGAGTCTGCCTGCATTGCTTATAGTAGAGAGCAACTGATCTCTTGGAGCTAGAATGACAGATGGTTCCAAGCCATCTGACATTTGTGTTGCCAACAGGTTCTCCACAGGAGTCTTAAGAGTTCTTAACTGCTCTCTGCCTGAGACAGTGTCTCAACTGAACCTAGAACTTTCTGATTGAGCTAGTCTAGCTAGGTCCCAGAATCTCCAGTCTCTGCCTTCTTCCTGTGTGTGGGCTTACAGGTGGGTTACAGTTCCCTCCTAACATTTAAGTGGGCTCTGAGGATCCAAACTCTGGTTCTCAAGCTTGTGTGGCAGTGGTTTACCCTCCGAGCCTTCTCCCCGGTGCAGTTCTGGTTTTAAGGTGTGTCTTGGCAAACAGCCCTAGCGGGACTTGAATTTAAGACACACACCCCACCCCTGCCACCCATGAGCCACCTCCGCTTGCTCTAAGCTTTGCTTTTCTAATTTTCACAACAATGCTCTTTCTGGAAGAGCAGATGATTAAAACTCATTGATTAATAGAAAACATGGACTCTTTCTGTGTTTCCTTCTTCGATTTTTCTGTTTTCCCAATGTTACTTAGTGAGTATGTACAATAAAGCAAACAATAGGCGATTAAAATGTAAGTGCCATGTATGATGAATTGTTTCCTGAAGATGTGACTGGTGTTTATAGTTAGAAGTGGTAGAGTCTGAAATAAGTCACAATGGCCAGCTAAAATATTCGTTAACATTAAGTTACTTCTCTCAGAGCTGGAAGTTCTGACTTGTATAGTTATACTGAAGTAATTTGATAGAGTAGTCACCCATCTGATTTAATGATCTCCGTAGTTAGTATCATTAGATGTTCTTGGGATAGGTGTGGATTGTTTTCACACTGGTTAATTCTCCTGAGCCTCAAATATGCAAGCTCAGTGTTGCTAAGCATTGTGGTTTGAATGAGAAGTCCCGCACAGGCTCATTTGTTTGAATACTTGGTCCCCAGTTGGTGGAACAGTTTGGGAAGGATTAGGCAGTGTGGCCTGATTGGAGGAAGTGTGTCAGTAGGGGCAGATTTTAAGGGTTCTCTGCCTTCTACTTGTGGATCAAGATCATAAGCTTTCAGCTACTGCCTCAGCGCCATGCTTGCTCCGTGCTCGCTGATGCCATGTTGCCTGCACGATGGTCCTCACCCTCTGAACTGTAAGCCCCAAAGAAATTCTCCTACAAACTGCCTTGGTCATGGTTTCTTGTCATGGGCATAGAAAAGTAATGAGATAGTAGGGCATAGCTATAATCCCAGGACACAGGAGGCTAAGAAGAGAAGGTAGCAGGTCTGAGACCAGCCTTGGCACATATGCATAGAAAGGCCCTGACCTTGAAAATAAACAGAAGTTTATCACATGGGAGAAGGGATTAATTATAAACTTTGAAAAAAGATAGTAAAAAAATTCAATAAGCAATATCTGGTTCTGTTACTGTCTCCCCCTCCCCCCATGTGCACATGTGCTCACACCTATGTAGTACTTTCAAGGTCCAGAAGAGCGTGTCAGACCCCCCCATGGAGTTGGAGTTACCGACAGTTGTGAGCTGTCCAGTATGGGTACTGGGAACTGAATTCCAGTTTGCAAGAAGAGTGACTTCTCTTAACCACTGAATCAACTGCCCAGCTCCCCACCCTCCTTTAAAAGTTGATAGTTTTTGTTTGTTTGTTTGTTTGTTTGTTTTGGCGGGGGAAGCAGTATGAGTGCAGAAGAGGGTTTAAGTTACAGGTGATTGTGAGCCACCCCATATGGGTACTGTGAATCAAACTCTGACCCTCTGTAAGGGCTGGGCCATCTCTCTGGCTCTCTCTTTTGTAATTTATTTGATTTAGTTTTAAAACTGTGTGATATATTATGTCACAGTCCTTGAAGACAAGGAGAGTTGTATTCCCACTTTACATAGGAACACATTTTTACAGCGGTATTGAAAACAGATATCCAATGAGCATTCTTAGCTAATGAGTAACTACTATCCTGGCCTCTAGGTTTGCAAAGACTCAGTCTTCCCATGCCAGGTTCTCTGTGTGGTTCATAATTGCTTAAAGTAGTCCAGCCATTCTTCAGTGTAGCTTTGTCAAGACCTGAGCCAGCATCTTACTAGCTTCTCTTCTCTTTCCTCCCCTCCATCTTTTCCCCTCCCTTTTCCTCCCCACCCCTTTTCTCCCTCGCATTCCTCTAGTAATATTTTGAACAATCTTATTGCATATGCACACCGCAATTAAAATAATTATCTAATCTTTGTAATTTATGCTCATAAAGAAAGAGATACACTCGTCCCCAAGAAACCGTTCTGGTCCCCGTGGAACAAAATTAAATATTTTTTCCTAAACTTCAATTAATCTTTTGTCCTCATTTGTGATCATGTTGCTTCAGTACAGCACAATGCTTGGATTACAATTTAGCTTTGCAAGCATTGTACAAGATATTAGATACATAAATTTTGCTGTTAGATATTAAGCCTTTAGTTTGTGTCAGATGTCTGAGGTCTATATTGCAAATAAACCTGATATAAGATCAACCTGTTAGCACTAGAGACTGCTTTTTTGTTTGTTTGATTGTTTTTGTTTCTGCCCTGAAATCTTGTAAAAAGGCCAGTTTTATTTGGCTTTGTTCCTTCCATTTGGGTCTAGCCTATTTTGACTTCTCAGGTAGGGATTTTAGGATGACTATGAAAATGTGATTCCTTGCGTAGTTAGGAGTTCAGAAACAAAAGCCATAGAGAGCTGGTATTAAATTCCTTTCACAGCATTTGCTGGCTGTGTGCCCTTCAGTATTCTTTAAGACACCACTTCTTCCTCAGCAAACTAGGGTAGCTATAGTGTCAACCTCTCATGAGGATTAAAATGATGACCTCTAAAATGTGTCTGGTACGCTGCCTCATTCATGGAGAACATCAAACACACATGAAGCTATTGTTAATCTGGAGAAACCCAACTGAAAAAACAAACAGGCAAAAGAACCATTGCATGCCTGGTCAGAGAAGGGTGACTCAGCTGTTGGTGTCTCTGGGACCCCCGACAGCTCAGAGTGTGTGGTAGAAGTGGAGTTGGCAATGTTGATGCTGAGCAAGACCTAATGTAGTCTGCAAAGCTCCTGTTCATTCATTCCCTCAGTTTTAAAAAACCTCCCTTTTCCTTGGTATTTCTTGGTGGCTCCTTTTCTTCCCCTCACAACAAAGCTCACTTTGTTTAGTTTTGTGCCAGCAGGCTATAGAGTCCCCTAGTGAGAATGAAACTAAGGTAGAGTGCACTTTCTCAAAGATTTTCTTCTTTTTCCTTCCTTTTCATTTTATATCCTTCCCTTTCCTCCCTCCTTCCTTGAAGTGAAAGAATAAGCATTTTCTGAAACGTGTAAATGTTTATATGCTATTTGAAACTACTTTCAGGGCTCTGCAGTTCCTGTAGACTTAGAAGCCTGGATTGCTACACATCTCTCTGCCATGTCAGAGGCACTCTCTGCCTTGCTGCCCAGTGCCATGGGCTTCGGGGAAACAAAGAACCATTTTGGGCTTCAACCATCTGTCTGAGGAACTTTGCTGATATGGCCTGTTGGATAGAGATAGGTGGTTAAACATGACTCATATTACATGCATACGTGTGTGTGTGTGTGTGTTTGTGTGTGTGTGTGTGTGTGTGTAGGCCAGAGGTCAACCTTGGGTGTCATTCCAAGGAGCCTACTCTGTTTTTTGAGAGAAAATCTCTCTCTGACACCTAGGGCTGACCGGATTAGGCTAGGCAGGTTGATGAATAAGCTCATTTCTGCCTCTCCAAACACACACTATCTAACCCAACATTTTACATGGGTTCTAGGAATCAAACTTGACTCTTCAGGCTAACCTAGCAGACACTTTAGCATAGGAGCTGTCCTCAGCCGTGACTACTTGTTCTTTTTAATGTTTTTTTTTTTTACATTTATTTATTTGTGTGTTTATGTGCATATAGCATGTGTGTCAAGGCACACATGTGAAGTTCAGAGAACAAATTCTTCCACCATATAGGTTCTATTGACTGACCTCACATTGACAGGCTTGAAGGCAAGTCTTCTTATCTGCTGAGATAATACAGCAAAAAGTGTTTCTTCCTTTACCATTTATATTTTAGATAACACTTTCACTAATTTTTTGATAACCATTTTATTAATTTTTTAATAATTTCATACAGTGTATTTTGATCATTTTCAACTCTTCCCCAGCTCCTCCCAGATCCACCTCACCTCCCTACCCACCCAACTTTGTGTTCTTTTTTTTTTCTTTTAAGACCATTGAATGCTCTTTGTGTAGCCCAAGTACTCCAGGGAGTAGGACCAATTCCTAGTTCTCCTCCCAGATGCTATCAAATGGGAGAAGCTCCTTTGTTAGGCATGTGACATTGTCTCATTCTCCCTCCATGCTGGGGTTTTGACCGGCTCATGCTCGTATAAGTCTTACTCATTCTGTGGCAACCACTTCCGAGTTCCTATGTGCAGCTGCACCAGTGTGTGGTAAATACTGTTCCTTTCTAGTCATCTGTCACCCCTGGCTCTTACAATCCTTCTGTCCCCTATTTCTTGATAAAACTTCAGCCTTGAGGGAAGACATGTGATATATATAGATGCATAATTTGTGGATGAGTATTCTGCAGTCTCTTACTTTCTGCACCTTGGCCAGGTCTGGGTCTCTGTATCAATCGCTGTCTCAAGGATAAGCTTTTCTTATGAGGATTAAGAGTGGCCCTGATCTATAGGTATAGCAGTAAATCATTGGGAGTTGGTTTAATACTATTTCCATTTGACACAGTAATAGTAGTAAGTTCTTCCCTAGGGTCTGTGATTGCATAGGCATAGGTTCTTGGCCTAGATAGGGTTTAAGTCTAATAAGAAAGTGGTTGGTTACTCCCATGACATTTGTGCCACTACTGCACCAGTGGACATGTCTTGTCAGGGAAGTCATTATTGTAGTTCACAGAGTTCACAACTGGATAAGACTGATGTTTACCTTTATCTTCAGGTAGCATACATCTTCCAGCACCATGAAAACTAGCAAGTAGGGATAAAGCTCTGAGATTACTGTCATCTTAATTTCTTCTTGTTCTGTGATTCAAATATGTGGCATCTTCAGCAACAGGGTCATACTGTTCAGTTCTGAGGGATAATCAAGAACAATAGAAATAGCTACTAGTCAACCATTCCAAAAGAGGCTGCCTATTCCGGGGTATTGGGCTTTTCATTTGCTAGCCTGTGGTGTTAAGTTGGGTTATTGTCCCCTTCAAGGTAACTCCATTTAAACTCTTTTTATGTTATGAATCTATTTTAGGAAGATTACATAATAGGTGATTTCCATGTGACTTTTTCAATAGGAATTTAGAGTTAAATAGCATTTTTAAAATGACTTAAAGATCCTATATACTACAGTGCCTTTATGTATGACAGAAATCTCGGTCATTTTTGTTTTAGGCCTTGCTTGAATTTCTCCAAAGAGTCATTGACAATAAAGAGAAGAATAAAATGACAGTTGTGAATGTAGCAATGGTCATGGCCCCGAATCTCTTCATGTGCCATACACTAGGTTTGAAGTCCAGTGAACATCGAGAATTTGAAATGGCAGCGGGGACAGCAAATGTCATGCACTTATTGATTAAGTACCAGAAACTTCTATGGACAGTAAGTATATGTTTTTAACTTAATTTTTTAGGTCAGTGTGCAAAGTCTTTGAGTTTCATAGTGACATCTTCATACTTATTTGTCATTATACTTTTTTTTAGACTTATGCCTGCCTTTATTCTGGCAGGTTCTCTTCTCTCCCTCCAGTTGGTACTCTGTTTTATCATTTTATTGTATGTATTCCATAATCCTCCTTTCTCCTCTACTTAGGTCTCTTCTTCCTCTCTCATCATTCCTTTTCTAATACACATGGACATGTACACACACATGCTTATACATACACAAAAGTTTAGATCTCATTTCCTCATATAAGAAAAACACGTGGTATTTGTTTTAAAACTGCAGTAATGGTCATGTAATTTCCTAGCATAATTGTTCTTAATAATCATGAAAATAGCTTTATAAAGTTGATATTTAAAAAGCAATGTGCTTTTTTTTATCAATAGCTTTAAAAGACACTGCATGTTGGCTGCCAACTTTATAAAATTACCATTACCATGTGTGAGTGCAAAGGTATTAAAGACACTTTATTCACAGAGGTAAGGAGGGCCTTGTGAATTTCTATTTTAGAATCATAAAATTAGGTCAAGCAAACATGCCTTGTAAAAGGTACTTCTTAGGTAGTTCCTCCAGCGCATTTCCCCTTTGCTCAATGTTGAGGCTGTCACATTTTAAAGAGCTCATGCTGTCTTTGCTCCCATCATTCCCTTATTTTCCACAGGACTGTTATTTAAAGGGGCACACACATTCTGCACTCTGATTGCTGAGGTCTTGAATGCGGTTTCCTTCTTTACTTTTATGTTGATCTTAAGTTTTGACAGATCATCAGCATGGATGCTGATGAGAGATTTGGCTGATTACAGTCTCATTTTTCAATGAAATTTATATTTTGGCAGAGAAAGGGGTCCTTTTTTTTTTTTACAAGCATTTAGAAAAATGAACTAAAGAAATCCCAAGTCAAATTATAATATTAACTATATTAAACCTTAATGTGAGCTTCTCCTAATCCCAGTATTTTAAAAAAATACAAAATGATGCTTCCTATACTCTCAAGGCTTTTATATTCTATCCAAAGGCAAGTGATGTTGGTTATTACAAATATATTTAAAGTAATGCTCAGTTATCATACCTGCTTCCTTTGAGAGCAACATTACTTTATAGCTACATTTTAATTGCCTAAAAGATTTTGTTCTTAATATAATTTCTAAGAATAAGTTTTTCCTTATCTTTAGAAGTACAGTATATCTTTAGGAGTACTGAAGGCCAATATTTGGCTTTTGTTGATGGGTGAGCTTCTCTTCTGGTCTGACATTAGAGACCATCTGCATTGTTGAAAGGGACCTGTAGGTTAGCTTAGAGGAGCCCAAGAGAGGTGGTTGCTAAGGGGACAACTGTAGAGGTGGTGGCCTCCACAAGGGTCTCCTCGGGGAATCTCCTGTGTTGACAGCCATGGCACAGAAGTGGCCAGTATGTCCTTGAACTTCACAAAGTCCCTTTTGCACCCTTGCACAGTGGGTGGCAAATTACACCAAATGGATGCCCTGTTCCTGGTCTAAGTAAGCACGTGGTTTATTTCTTTTCACAGAGCTAATGAACAGCACAGTGAAATGGCTTAGTCTTAGGAAACAAAAGCTTTATTCCTCTTGAAATTAAAAACAGGAAAAAGAAAAAAGCTTTTAGTTTGAAAGGGTTCTATGACTCTTACGTCTTTTTCTTCCTCAAGCTGGATTTCTTTTCTCCATAGATTCCTAAGTTTATTGTAAACCAAGTGAGGAAGCAAAACACTGAAAATCAAAAAAAGGAAAGGAGAGCCATGAAGAAATTGCTGAAGAAAATGGCTTATGACCGAGAAAAACATGAAAAGCAAGAGAAAACTACAAATGAGGTAAGAAAATCTGGAAGGTCTATTGTTAACTGTGATTTAAGTAATTTCATTGCATGGCTTTCTCACAGTTACTGGGCCTTGGTGGTAGTCACAAGTGAAAGATACCAGTTTCTTTTCTTCTAATATTGAAAATTGGTCGGGTGTTGGGGCTCAGCATGTGCTTTAGTAATGGTGAACAGGGAATCATGTCAAGAGAAGTCTGTCACACGTACACTTTCTCACACAGACATACATACCACATAGAAACACCTTTCTTTCTCTGTCTCTCTCTCTCTGTCTGTCTCTCTCTCTGTCTCTCTCTCTCACACACACACACACATACACACTCCTTTTGCATAGTCTAGATGCCCACTGATTTTATGGTGTATAGTGAATGAAATTCTTGTGCACTCCACTCACCTCATCCGTAAGGATTCCCCCAGATACTTGATGGGGCTGGGGTATTTTGGGGCTGAAGATAAATCTTAGACCCCTGTAAGGATTTAAGGTTTGTGATTTGGTCAAAGGAATCATTAACTTATGTTGTAGAGAAGAAAATTAAAGTAAAAAAATCCATCATTTGCAAACTGCAGTAAGAATATATTAAGAATCATGTTTACAATAATGAAATATGCCTGCAAATTTATTTATGAATTGAGTTAACAAAGCTCTGGTGGCAGATCTCAGAATGAGGGAAAGGCATTCTATTGTTCTACTTAAGGGAAAACACCCCTCACCCCAACTGAAGTTGCTCAGTTGCATGCTGACATCTTGTGGACTACGATGAAAATGCAATCACCAGCCTTTGTCCAATTTCTCTGCTATGGCTTGCTTAGCGAGTGGCCCCCAAATAATATAACAGTTTTTTTTTCCCTTAAACTTATTTGTAGCTCTCTTAAAAAATTAATACTTTCCTATGTGAGTTCGAGGCCAGCCTGGTCTACAGAGTGAGTTCCAGGACAGCCTCCAAAGCAATACCTATCTCGAAAAAAGCAAAACAAACAAACAAAAGTTTAGTACTTTCTTAGAGATGCAAAAAAAGTATCTCTAAAAGATACAAAATATAAGGGAAATTATCAATGTTGTTTCTGTTTTTTTTAGAGCTTAATTTTTGTCATAGGGCTAGAAAGGATTTGTGACATGCCACTTTTCTTTCACTTTTCTGTTACCTCAAACACAATTGTAGAGGGGGGGTCTGGGCTCGTAGACCTGGCTGTTCAATTTAAGTGAGTATCAATTACCTCTTTCTTTTCTGAAAATTCAGGTATCTAGCAAAATGCTGCTAATCCAAGGTACCAAACCTCAATCCTCCATTAGGTATTCAAAGAGGCCCAAAGCTGGGTGTGTTTGTCTTCCCATCCCATACAGAATCGGATATCACAGGTTAACTTAGATGTGTACAATGGAGATGGGATGCAAAACCAACTATGGCTTCAAAATCCCTCAATTCTTATTGTTTTTCTTGATATCCCCAGATTATAACCTCTAAGAAGTATGTATGCCAAAACTCTGAGTTCATTGTGTTAGTTCTGAGTCTGTTGCTGATGGAATAAAATGACTTCCAGAAAACTTTTAAACTAATCTTGGATGGCAGGCAAGATCCAATTGGAAAAGGAAAGAAATTTAGAAAAAGAACCAGCAGGAGTCACAAAATGTGGACACTGGGTGAATGTTAGGAATATGGAAAAATAAATATATAATGATATTGTTGTAATTTAAGAAGTAGTGCATGAGCGAAAGACACCATGCAGCAGAGATTACGTGGAGTTTTTTTGGGGGGTGGGGTGGGGAAGGTAATGAGAAAAAGGGGAGGGGACTGGGAGACCAGCCTCTGAGGACGGAGCAGAAGAAAAGAGACAGACACAGACAGACACACAGACACAGACACAGACACACACACACACACACACACACACACACCCACACACACACACACACACACACACACCCACACACACACACACACACACACACACCCACACACACACACACACACACACACACACACACACACGGGGGAGGAGGACAGGGCCCTTTTAAAAGTGAATGGTAATGAATATGCACAGGTGGTGATCTTAGTGGCTGCAGCTGAGGATGTATCCTGTCAGAACCCCAAGGACAGGCCTGAATACTAACATTGAATTTTGTTTGTGACACTTGCCTATTTAAGGTGGGGTGGACTTAGAGGGTCACTTGGGGCTTCAGATGCATCTTGGAATTAGCCTAGAAATTGTACTTCAGGCAACAGAATGCTTGTGTAATTCAACAAAGACTTGACAGTGAGAAAAATAGAAAGACAAATCTAAGGCATGCCAGTATTTTCACAGTGAGCCATGAAAATGGTAAAAGAGTTGACAGAATTAAGTAAGGCAAATATGTACAATATATACAGTGTTAGAATCTCAGAAAAGAAGGGCAAAGTTAGTGCTGAGTTAGAGACACCAAATAATGCAGAGATGGGAAGGCTTGCTCAATAATCATGCTTACCTTTGTAGGCCAGTAGTGACTGCCTCTAGAGCATTGTCAGTAATTGACAATGCAGCCAGATAGCTGGAGACTGGAGAACGAAAGACCAATTTTAAGATATCATGCATGCTATTAAAGCTAAGTGTACAAAATCAGGCATTCATGTTAAGATACGCTTGACTAGATAAATGAGTACTTTGATCCAAGTTGTAAGATATATACTCAATTTACTTAATAAGACGAATGTTCAATGACTACAGCATATTTATTATTTGGTATGAATAATATGAAATAAGACGAATGTTCAATGACTACAGCATATTTATTATTTGGTATGAATGTGAATGCCCTTAAATACTATTAAGCTTTATCTATTAATTCCAACAGGAGGAAACAATAACAAAATTATAGACCATTAAAAATAGTTGTTTTCTAATGGCATTTAACTTGTTGGGATCTTGCTCTCTCCACGTACCCGGTTTTGATGTATGTATACCTATATATTTAATTGTGGATTTGGAGGAGAGAGAACTGAGGGTGGTTTCTACTTAGATAAATGGTATACCACTGTACTGTACCACAAAATGTGTATTTTTTCCAATATTGAAAAGTAGAAACAATAGCATATGAGCCCCAACATTAAATCGCTTTATTTTGCTCATCTTCCTACCTGTTCCATACACTTTCTCCCCTTTTAGTCTTTTTATGCTAATCACAGACATCCCATCATTTCACCCATAATTACGTCTGATGGCCTCTGTCTAATGAGGATGTAGGGGCAGCTTTGATGATCACTTAGTGACAAATTGCCGAAGCTCCCAGGCTTCATTTCCAGTGTAGGCTTTGATTTACATGATCTTTCCTCTGCTGTCCCTGCTGGCCTCCTAGAGGGAAGCCAAACTTATGAGCATGTGTGAGCTGTGTGCGTCCTATTTCCCCATTGCTACTCCGCACTTCCAGCGGCTTAGGAAACAAAAGTTCTCATAGTGTCCTCAACTTAAATTTTCACTCTGGATGACGTAGCTTTAGGAACTAAAGTAGAGCTCAGGTTTTGGAATGGTTATGTGATTTTTCCTAAAAGCCCCTTTTATAAGGTGTCAGGTTTAGGGACTCAGGACAGAGATGCTGTAGTTGAGTGAGAAGCTTGCAGGCTCCGGTAGTTTGTGTAGACTGGTGCGGGAGTCACAGCTTTTCTTGGCATTTACCTGGAGTTTCATTCCAAAGCGTGTACCCATAGCATCATCACAGGTATTGTTTCCAGTGCCTACATTTTAGATCTGGACAACAGGCTCTAGCTTAACTCGGAGACTCATGTGGAAAATCAAATCAAACTATGCCACACAATCTTCTTTCATGGTATGACTCACTGTGATCTTAAATAGAGCATAAAAATGTCATGTAAAGAAAGAAAAACATTAGGACTTACTTCATTGTGAATTGAATGCTGATCAACTTCTGTAAATTATTAGAGCCCTTAACAATTTCTAAATCTATGAGTCAGATTAAAGTTTAAGACATTGTGATAACAAAGACAACATTTGGAGCATTGTTTATGGCAGTGAGTTTATGTGGCCACCTCCTGGTATTGGCAGTTCACACTAGGGTGATCAGCATGCATTTTAGTTGAGATACTTTGCCATAATGTCCTCATTTAATTTTCTAAAATGTATATTACATCTGGACTTCTTTTAAAGAAATCTTTATTCTTATTTGTTCTTTTGATGATACAAAGGGTTTTCTGTGGCATTAAAAGCATTAGCTTCCCATTCAAATGAGTTTTAATGGAAAAGAAGAATGTCTTCTTTGATCTTACATTGAATTTCTAGACTGCAAAACTTTAAGGAATATAATGCTTACACATAACTGAAAACACAAGAAAAAAAACATGGTTTATTTAATCAAACCAGAACCACAATCAGATTTTCCTAAATACACCTTAGTTCAATGTAGACATGTGTGAGGATTACTTGAGATCATTTTTCTATTACAGTAGTCTTAGTACGCAGAGGAAATTAACATTCTTAACATTTTAAACTCATTGGGAACTGAACTTCAATGGCCCATTAGTCCTTGTCTACTTCAGACTTCTGTAAAACATATAACTTGAATTCATAGGCATACTGCACCCCAATGTACTGGATGGTGTCATAGATGTTAGTCAGTGTATTAATCAGGGTTCCCTAGGGGAACAGAACTTATAGACTGACTATATAAAGGGGTATTTTTTTTAGAGTGGCTTATAGGCTGTGGTCCAGCTAATCCAACAATAGCTGGCTACCAACAGAAGGCCCAAGAATCCAGTAATTGTTCATTCCACGAGGCTAGATTACTCAGCTGTTATTCAGTGTATGCCATAATACTGAAGAAGTACACTCTAATGCCAGTGAAAGAATAGACTTGGCAAGAATGACTGTAAGAGCAAGAAGGCAAAGAGCAGGTTTCCTTCTTTCATGTCTTTTTTATAGGCTGCCAGTAGATGGTGTGGCCCAGATTAAAGGTAGATCTTCCCACCTCAAAAGATCTGGATTAAAAGTAGGTCTTCCCACTTAAATGAC